ATTAGAGCATCATCTTTTACACTACATGTTTCGGTTCTAAATGAACCATCTTCAGGTGTATAATCCATATAAACTCAAATGTAATATCCTAAGTGCAATCCTTCGTCAGATGTCCATCAAATATCAGAAAGTTTTCCTCTTCCAGACCTATTGTATTTTAATATCGTATTCAAGGTCGTTTCGTAATGTATGTCGCGCTTAATATGATCTTGTGTGGGTGAAACGTTTCGCAGTGGTTTTTGTATCAGTCATAAATGAAGAGTGGAGGAGGTTTGTCCGTCTGGAAGTATTGATGCTCTAACGTAAATCAAACATTTCGATAGAGAGCAACATTTTAATATATTTTAAATATTTAAATGTTAATTGTAATATTTTAATATTTAATAATAATATTTTATTGTGATTAGACTGATAAAATTGAACAAGATTATGACAATGTCAAATATTATGTGCCACAAAGACAGACTATAAATTTAAAGCTACATTCTACAGGAAATGAGGAATTTACCAGTCAACACACACATTTATATCATATCATAATTGAATTCAGGAGCTGAATGCTGCGGTACATATTTTCTGCACACACCCAGTTGTGGCAGCTGAACACAATGATAATACCACAGAATAAGAACTATTTCTGAACTAGATTACTTCATTCTTATAGTAATAAGATTCTGTAGACTGACGGCAGAATGGCCTACATGCCTACAACAACTGCATTTATTCTCTGTATCTGGTGATAGAAACAAAAAAGCAGAAAAAATAAATATTCAACTTAGAAAGAAACTAACAAATTTCTGAATGTTAAGTAGGCGTGCTAACCACTCAACCAACATGTTCAATTCTACACAGTAAAAATGGCATTATCTGAATAATATAATAAGAGAAACTGGCAGTCAGAGCCATATAAACAGGAATGGACATGGTTTTTCAGAATTAGATAAATGCTCCACTTCAGAATTAGATAGACACTCCAGATCAAGTGAAAGAGTGGTGGAATGGGCAACACATACTTTAAAATAAATTTTAAATCATTACAATGCAATTCAGTAATTTATTTCTGCGTGTGTAATTGTTGGAAATGAAGGTTATGAGAAGGCACTGGAAAAAGCCTCATTAAAACAAATCTGCAACTAAGCAGAGCAAATCTACAAGCGTCTACGTCCATTTTCAGCCCTGCATAAAGCTCTATAAAGTAGAATGGCTGGTCTCAGTAAAAATTAAGACTGGACATATAAAATGCAAGCCACTGTTCATTTAATAAGCACCTACATACCATACTGGATGCCAGACTTGCACATGCTGAAAGCTGGATATAACGATTCTTGAAGTAGAGTGGACGTAAGGTCTATCCCCATTTGACCATTCCCACCATACAGGTCTGAAGGTGATGCCATTTTTGGTTTAGGAGCAGCTGGTTCCCACAGGAACATGTCTGTGTTGATTCTACAACATTATAACATACTGTGAGATCTGAGGTTCTCGAGGTGGGGAAGATCTTGACGATGTTTTGGGTTGTGGTACTATGTGTAGTCAGACAGATACTAACGTTCTAGACAGACACACTGTCTCCATCTTCAGGGCTGAAGAAGTGAGGGTGTTAGGAAGTGAACCAGAGTCAAGGAATGAGGAGGAGGAAATTTTCTGGGCCAACAGGGAGTCAGTATGAAAGGAAACAAAGTGGGAGGGCTGGATCAGGAGAGAGGAGGAAATGTTCACATTTCTTAGGGACCAACCAGAAGATGGACGTAAGGTGACATTCAGAAAATGGTCGTAGGAATAGCAGGCAATAGTCAGAGGCCATGCTGGAAGCAAAGAGCAGGCTGGAAAGGGAGAGAAAAAGGAAATAAAAAGTGGCCCTGAAGATGGAAATGGTATGTTTTTCTAAATGCCAGTATCTGCCTAGAAGCCCACATGGTGTCACAACCCAGAACTTTATCAATAACAGCATATTTGTTTGGGAATATTCCTACAATTAATCTCAATACATTAAAATGGTTGACCCTCACTGCTGGTGATATAAAAGGATGGTTCAGGTTTACTCAAAAGACACTTATGACTCAGATGGACAGATCAATTGTCATTTAAAAGTAAAAAGTAAAGCTGTCCCACTATATGCCATGTAGGCGCTTGGAGGGAGAGTAAATACAGCTTCTACACATTCTTAACCTCAGCACTAGATGGAGGTAATTGGTCAACATTATGCCCCGGCTACGCTTTACCCCTGGGAAAGGATCAAGGTACCTATTGGATAGGAGGCTGGGTGGGCCCCAGTGCCGGTCTGGACACGGAGGCTAGAGGAAAAATCTTCTGCTCCCGTCAGGGATAGAACCCTGGCCATCCAGCCCATAGCTAGACACTATACTGACTGAGCTGTCCCGGCTTACCACGCATGCATGCGCACACACGCGCACATACACAAATACAAAGCTATGAGTCAAATAAGGCAGGAATTAACTACAAGAGCTTCAAGAGAGGGCTGGGTAGAGGTTTGGCCACATATAAGAACATTTTAAAATTACTTCCTTGCAAAGCCTGAGCTAGTACAGGATATCTAGCAAAGGTAAAACAAGGTGATGTCATCAAAATGCTACTATAAAATTGGGCACAACATATGAGGGTGCTGATGATGGAGGCAGCGAGGACCTCTGAAATGTCAGCAAACTTCTACCAGACTGTATGGCGCAACAACCCAGAAGACAGCCATCTTCATACTCACTGCTGTGAAAACCTCAAATCCTGCATTTCTTTAAATGTTAAACAATTACAAATGTGAAAATGGCGAGTAACTGTGAATTTATATTTAGAAAATTTAATGTAATTAGAATCCACACTAATGTACATAATTTACACAGATGGATCACTAAAATCTATTTTTTTTACTTACAGTTCCTGCCATTTCAGCATATAAACTGAAGCGCATGAAGGAAAGTAAGCAACAAAGTTCTTCTGAAAACTATTTATTACCTGTTATAAATCAGTTCATACAGATGCTTTGAAGAGAGTTGTATACTGGCACACGGAAGGGAGATTTCTAACTGGATGCGACTATTGCGAGAAGCATAATCAATAAATTCTGTCATTTCCTGTTTATCACCAGGTATCATGAGTTCTTCACCTGAAATATATTTGACAAACATAACTAGAAAACTATATACAGACATTTATGTGCATGGTTTTACATCTGAAGTATTACTCAGAATTCCTCCAATTAGAAAATTCTTGGTACATACCTGTACTGACAGAAAAGTGAAACACCATAAACTGAAAAATCTCAATCAGCAGCCACAAAACATATGTGTATAATGTCATAAATTTGAATACAATAACTTATCAATGAGATAACACAGACGCTAGATAGGTTTTAACACAGCCATAAACATGAAGGCAGTCACTGCCAGAAAAAAACATTATATGCAGATTAAGACTCGTATGTTTAAGGATCATGCCACGAAGGTGTACTGGAAGAGTGGACGTACAGAGCACATTTGTAATCTCAGCACAAGATGATGAGCTTTACACTTCATCCACTTTAACCTGGGGTAAAAGATCCATTGTTACTTACTAAAGATTGGAAAGGCATACTACCTGGAGTATACAGAAGTTCCAAAGGTGTTCCTTACACCACACCCTGCTCGATATTATCTCCTTCAACATATACATGAATAGCTATTATACGAACAGCAACCTCTCATTTTCTGTCATTATTCTTATCATGAATTCATATATTTATCTTAATTTGCAGCAGAAGTGACACATTTGCAGACTAATGCATGTATATCCACAGAAATGCAATACATAATCATTCAATTCCTTCAACCTTCCTACATTACTACAGCAATATGACAATTCAATACATTACATTTGGTAGCCAGGACACTAACAGATTGCAGGATAAATAGTTTGTGTGATCACTAATACATGCCAGCATGGGTGACAACATTTTCAGTGTTTCAATGGGTGTACACGTAAACAAGTTTGGCTACAGGTCGCCTAAAATTGCGTAAAATGCATGGCGGTCTCATTCCGACATCGGAACGCAAAGGGTTAAATTATTTACAGGTGCCATTGAAAGTCATAAAATAAAAGTTATATAACCTAGAGATTTATGTTTATGCAAAATATGTGAGCATTTTTATTTATAAGTTATAAAATGCATGTGTTAGAAGGCAAGGTTCTAAATTTCATCTTTGACATTGAGTCTCAAGATATGTCTCTGCTTTCAATTTCATAAATATTAAATATGCATTTTCACTACTTTTGCACATCTTCAGTTTTTACTAGATACTGGCACAACAGATATTGAATTCTAGCACAGCATAAACAGGAGTGTGCGTCATTTTGTGGTCACTATTGTGATGGGAGCTTTACACACAACCGTTAAAAATTAGTGATTTAGCAAAGAGATTCAGAGATTTAAGTCGTTGCCGTGTTTATGAATTTAAATATACAAATATATTTTTACAAACAATCAGTTTCATAGTTAAAGTTATTATTCAGTTAGTTTCGGAATAGATAGAATTGAATATAATTCCACAAGAGCATTTCATTATTATTTTTCGTATTAGTCATTGTGACACTTTCTAAACGCTAGTATTCGTACATTTTGAAAATCAATCTTCAGAGTTTCATAATTACATTGCAGACAACTAATTTCAGTACAGGAAGCCCTGATTTATGCCTGGGATGCGTTCCTGGAGGAACCGGCGTAAATTGAAACTCTTTATAATGTAAATTATTGGGAAGTCAATGACATGCGTTCCTGGAACCCAAACATTGATGAGTAATATAATGGCATTGCATTTGAAGCTCTGAAATAACGTAAATAAAATCAAGGGAATTTAAAAAAAATATATTTTATTCACTTACAATCGGCAATTCGTTGGTCCCCGCGATTGACTGGGATTCTTTCATGTGACTGATGTGTACAGTCATCTCTGCTGTTAAGCGATAGTTGCATTCATGTAAGACGCCGACCTATAGAAAATCGCGTAGTAAAAATAACCCCGGTACCTTCGCAGAGGTTAATTGAAAGTTCAAAGCGCCAGGAATGAAAATGCATAAGACCAAACTCGCATATGCAAAAGTTTGCATTTTACAAACAGCTTTTACCGATTCATCGATCTCTTTGGAGCAAATTCGCGTTAACGACAGAAACGAAATTGCAGAGATGATTGTATTTATATTTTTTATTCAGAATCGGCGATGTAAGAATTACGATTTAGTATAAGAATCAGTACGAGAAACATTGTAAAACGTTATTAATAATAGTAATTTTTTTTTTACTTTTTGACTTGCTGGTTTCAAAAGCGGCATTATTCTGAATCTGCGCAAATTGAAGCGGCATAAATCGAGGTTTACCTGTAATATGTAACAGTTCATAATGACTTCTGACAGATGGCATCACACATAGTTTGTAACTTTAATTAGAATTGGTTCAGCCATTCTATAGATATTAAATGTGCACAGAGGAATATCAGGAGGTTGGTTGGGCCTAGAGCAAGTGTAGACAAGGTGGAAAACTGAAACCCAGCTGACCAAGCTATAACCAGTCACTTCACTATTTCATCTTCAGCTAATAACAGAAACAGCAAAAGCTGGTATCAAAATTTGTTACAGCAAAGAAATTTAAATTACAATTTCTCCTAATAATAACTGCTTGAAAGTAAAACTGTCCCATTACATGCCATGGATGCACCTGGGGGAGAGGTGGTATACAGCTCCTGCTCATTCTTGACTTCGATATTACATGGGGGTGAATGGTCAATGTCATGTCCCAGATGAACTTTACCTCCGGAAAAAGGACACAGAGTACCCGATGGATAGGAGGCTCCGTAAGCCTGAGAACTGGTCTGCACACAGTGGTTAGGTGAAAAATGCTTTGACCCTGGTGGGGCTCAAATCCAGTTGTCCAGTCTGTAGTCAGATACTATAATGACTAAGGTACCCTGGAGGGGCATTACTTAATGAGCGACCCTCGTAATATGCTTCTAACAGCACCTTTGAAATATGTTTATAATTTTAAAAATGAGGTATAAAGGTTCACCACTATCACAAGTGCTTGAAGACCAATGTTTCTCTGGCATTAACTTTTATGTGGATAGGAAGAATACAATAAATAAAAACTTGCTGTGTAAGTTACCTTGTAAAATATGTTGTATAACTTGTATTCACAAATGTGCCAGGTTCTACTGTACACCTCGACAACATTACTTTTGTCATACTTATTTTCTACAGAGCAATGAATAAGGAACTAATGGTTGGTACAGTGGACCATATTATCCATGGCTTCTTATATGTTTTGTCTTCATTTATTCAATTCTAGCAGCAATATGACAAAATTTATGGGTCCTTGCTTGTTATCTGCCAAAATTAACTATTAACTAGCAACTTCACTCATACTGTTTGTTTGTAAAATTCCGCGTAACTTTAAACGATAATGGTTGGCCGCTCTTGCAAAATTCTCCAACAAGACACTACCGCCAACTCTTCTAGACAATGAAAAAAATCACTAACCATTTTAAAATTTGTAGACAAGAATTGTCCATACCTTCAGCCGACTGGTTGGACCTGCCATGAGGTGTGTCACTTTCATGAATCACTTTCTTTGAACTAAATGGTGAAGGCTCTTTCTGACCAGAACTTTCCAATGTTTCTATTGAATTCTGGGGCATACTCTCTTCACCTTCCATCTCTCCAATGTCATCCAGATCACCTCGGTTGCTTTCTGGATATACTTGAATCACTATTCTAAAACACACAAAATATAAAATCCAGATGTAAAGTAAAGCTGTCCAATTACATGCCATGGAGGTTTTTGGAGGAGAGGAGGTATAGCCCCTACTCATTCATGTGTGGGGAATACTCAGCATCATGCACCAGTCACACTTTACCCCTAGGGAAAGGACCCCCAGTACCCACTGAATAGGAGTCTGGGTGGATCCATAGTCAGTCTGCATGCAGAGGCTGGAAGAAAAACCCTTTGCTCCTCCCAGGGATCGAACCCCAGCTGTCCAGCCCATAGTCAGACACTACACTGACTGAGCTACACCAGCTCATAAAATGCTTATGTAGGCCTATTACTGATATTATAAACCTGTTTTTTATAAAAGGCAGTGAAGTTGATTAAAAAAGAGTGAGACTGGCCTACAGCACCATCCGATTTTTGTTTTTATTAATTGATTAAGTTGTTATTTAGATACCATGCAACTTACGTTACAGACATTTTAGGCACAATATTATTCACTAAATCTTCCTGGTTTCAAAGAAATGGTTGGGTTTTCAGGCCATCTTCTTATCGTTGACCCTTCATTCTTATTTGTGGCCTGGCAAGTGATGGGTGACATTTTCTACTTAGATCTTCTCTAAACTACATAAGATACATTCCAGATTGGTAGCAAGATGGCGATAATATAGTACAGATTTCCTCTGCTAGGTGATGACAGAATACAGTCTGCTAAATTTTCCATTGTATGATGTCATTCAGAAGTCATGTCATATCATTTGGACAATAAAAAAGCATTTTGATGCAAAATCTGACTATGTGACAAATTATAAGCAAATTCATGCATCATCTCTCAAATGACAAGTAGAAACAGAACTGAGCCATGAGAACACTTCAGAGAGATTAACAGTTCACTTCTAAAATCATCACAGGTGGTAAAACATGAGTCTAAGGTTACATAGGTTACAAAGACTACATGCATCTGTAGTATCCCCTCTCTCCACCACTATAACCATTAGAACAAATCTCTCTACTCCACCACTGATACTAACTCTTAAGCACTGAGAAAGAAAAGTACTGTTCGACACTATCATCTGCAGCTCCTCCCAAAACCAATTCCCTCTCCAAAACAGAAGCGGAAATGTGCTGAAAGCCTAGTTCACACTGTCTGTGATTGTTTTTAATTTTCTTTTTAAAAAGGACAATCCATGATCCAGATAACATACATACTGATAATCAGGAGTTTACTGTTCATCAAAGTCAAAAACTTACAGCAATACTGAATTTAAAATTTTGAAGTACATTGCTGGTATCTGTTGCAACAGAAAATATGGTAGCACAGGGTGACATGAAAGATGAAATCTACATACCTCGGCCAGCCAAAGCCCTCTCCCCCACCTGGTAGTGAATTACCATTTTTGTCATCTGCTGATGCATGAATAAAAGGCACCGAGGTGTCGGTATCAGCTTCCTAAAAAGAATTGAAACAAAACATTTAATTACATGCATGTACCTTTCAAGACACACAGTAAGAGGACATGCTTGACAGAGTACCACATTTAAACTTTTCACCGCACAAGCACCATGCCATGAATGTGTATGGGGAAGTCCCATATATCATCAGCACTACACAATGGTCAGTTTCATGCTCTGGCCACCTTACCTCCGTCTAAATGAAAGCCTGGTACCCGCTGAATAGGAGTTTGAGTGCCAGATATGGTTGCAAAGACAAAAATCACTGCCAATGGCAGGAATTGTACCTCAACATCCAGACCAGAGCCAGTCACTATACTGAATGCCCATATCAGGGCACTACATTAGCCAACATTTATCCCTGCATGTATAAATACACCTACTTTCAAAACCTCTTAAATATGGGATTTAACCCTTGAAATTGTGAGCCTGTGAATGTTCCTGAAGCATTTAGATTTTCCCTTGGTAGCATTCTGAGTAGTCATGTGCCAAATGCAGGCTTTTAAAACCCCATTGAATTCATGTACACTATATGATAAAAATCAAGCACTTACTCCAGCTATTGTTGGCAGCCACCTACCAGCAGATGCTACATATTATCATTCAAAATTAGTTAATGCCTCAACAGACAACAAGCTGAATTATAAACAAAAGATCAAATCAGATGCTTATTATATATCTTTATTTTTAATGATCTTATGCTTCTGTATAACACCTTCTCAATTATGAAAAGAATGGAAAGGATTATGACAGAATTACAAATTTCATCAAAATAGATTTTATATTCTGGTATAGTCACATTTGAGGGGAGTTTGACTCTGGTAAGATCCTCTCCAGAAGTTTACAAATGTTCAACACAATGAAAGAAGACACTGAGGTAGATCTAAAAAAGATGGAAAGATTTTGTTTTACGAAACCTCCAAAAACAAAACGAGGCCAAATATCTGGAAGGATGATAATAATGAATGAAAATGTTACATGTACATACTTACTGTTTAACATATTTTTTTACTGATTAGTCTTTCTCAGAAAATCACTAAACTGTAACAAACGTACCTGAAAAAGTCCATTAATGTCCCTGCACTGAACTTCAAATCTCTTGCACAATTCTCTACTATCTATCAAAGTATGAAATGAGGCACTGCTCAATTCAAATATGAGGAAGTCTTTCCTGACCGAGCGCCTCCACCAAGGAGGACGGTCCATGTCATGAATAGGCCGCAGATCTGGCATCGGAAACCTGTAATGATTGATGACTATGAAGCTAACATATGAAGGTTATTCTAATAAAATCTATTCATGATGCTACTAGTGAATATGGCCAGTCACAGGGACCATGTGGCTACACACATCATGATGTACCAACAGTCGATAATGATTAGTGCAACAGATAAAAAGAAGTAACTTTGAAAGAGAAACATTGTTTTTTTTTTTAAATTTTTAATGCTTTCCCGCATCTATCGTTTTCCCGCATTCATCGTTTTTATTTCCCACCCCCGCCGAAAACGATGCATCGAGGTTTCACTGTATTACAGCAAATGAAAATAGTGATACATGCTTAAATACCAGTGTTACAAGCAGGGTTGTGGAGTCGGTACTAAAACCTCCGACTCTGACTCCTTCATAAAAGTTCAATATGTATTAATAATGGTAAACCTACTAAAATGGTAAATGGTACCATAAGAGATTTCATCACCACCACGTGATTCATCAGCCTACTTTTTAGACCTATAACCTATATTTAAGTATAAGTCTAATGGTTATTGCAGAAATTGGTTGATTTGTAGACAGTTTGTATTCTTAAGGTACCGGAGCCAGAGTTACAAACATTGTTCCCTCATCACGTGGCTCAATGTGTCATTGGATCTCCCTAAGCGTGAGGCCGCCGCTGGCTCACACGGTAGCAAAAGTGTTAAAATAGCATTTTCTTAAGATTTTATATCGAGGTCAGAGTCGGTACGTTTTTGTCGACTCCGACTCCACCTAAAATTGCTTCCGACTCCACAGCCCTGGTTACAAGTGCAGAATCTGTCCAAACAGGACCAACAAGTAGTCTTTCAAATTGTAGTGAGAATTATCAACTAGCCAAATTTCATCACAGAATTACTGCTACATATAAAATGCATGTCTCAAAGACAACAGTGATGGAATGGCATCAGAAGTTCCCTTCAGGGCGGAAGGAAATCTGCAATAATGCACTGCCAGTCCCCATGTCACCTGCAATGTCCAGGACATAGTGCACTCCATGCACTGAAAAGTGTTGGACCATCCTCCCTCCATACAGAATGGACCTGTCACCCTATGATTTTCATGTATTTGGCTGTCTCAACAAGACTGTGTTAAGAAAATCTATTAAAAAATGTAGATTTTTCAAAGTCAAGTACAAGCTGTTACATTTATACAGATCATGAAACAAAACAATAGCGACATAATAAAGAGGGGTTCACATTTTTATGATAACGTCATACCTGAGCTTCAGAGTGAGCATTGAGCATGAGATCTTTATGTCCACTTTGCTGTCAGACAATGAGGGATTCTCCACAGCTTGATAGAAACAATTCTGATGGTTCTGAAATATAAATAAAATTATTAATCTAAAGATTGCTGTCTTCTGGGGTGTTGTGCCTTGTAGTCTGGTAGATGTCCACCAACATTTCAGAGGTCCATGCTGCAGACTACACAGCGCAACCCAGAAGACAGCAATCTTCAGACTCACTGTAGTGAAAACCTCAAATCCTACATCAATAAACAAAAACACAGAGATAAACAATTAAATCTGTTATTAATGTTCTTCTCCTTCAGCTTATCCTACATTCTTGTAGCAGAAATGAACACTAAATGCCTGCTCATTTTCTACGTAGATAATAAAAAGGTTTTGCTGGTACCTTGTTGGTGGTAATTTGCTGTTATGGGATACTGTGTTTACTCTAGTATAACACTTTATTCTTGGATTTAAAAATTAAAAAAGTACAACACACTTTGAAATAAATAAAATACAGATACTGTAAAAAAAAGGTATCGTATGAGACGTCCAAAGATTAGATGGGTAGGGTAAGCATTCATTGTTGCAGGTATATTGTAATGAAAATGAACTGGACACATTTCAAATCAGTAAGATGATAGTGTGATTATTGGCGGCCTTTCTTTCAGAACAGAAAATGTGAAATTAATAATTAAAAATTGTTGGCTCACATATCTTTTGGTTTTCTGGTTTTGCGGAAATAGAGGCTGGGTGCTCTGTTACGCAAGCATGTCATTTTGGTTTTAGACAAATTTCATGGACATGTGACGAAAAGCGTTAAAGCAAAAGCTGACAAGGATTCAAACTACTTGTAATTCCACAGTGGGATAATCAAGGTTTTGCAACCTTTGGATGCTGTTATTAACTGGCCATTCAAGATGCTTTCTGGTGGCTTTAAAATTGGTGGATGACAACAACAAAGCATGATCCGAGGCCCGGCAGTAGACTAAAGTACATGTCGCTGCTGACGGTGTGTGAATGGATGGTGGCCAGTAGAGGGTGGGATCCAAACTGTTCTCATACACACATAGTTTTGACTTTGTCACAGGTGGGGGAAGATGTGAAAAAATCTGCATTGCATACAGGACTTCTACACCAGGCCCCTATACCAACATTATCATGATTTAAAGATAAAGCTGTTTGTCACATTCCAACTGAAATATTAGATACACTCTTACATTTCTCATGTGTCCTGAAACAAATTTGGTGTTTCTTCTACAAAGGGGTTGTGGGTTCAGTAAAGCTGTAATACGATCCACAATGGAAACATCAATTTCAGAGAAACAGGGCTGAAGTGTTATCCTGAAAGCAAATATAAAGAGTCAGCACATATCTGTATACCAGCAACTGCTAAAAACTGGACAATGACACATTTCAACATACGAGACATCTGTGCGAGGATGACTATAACGTTTGGTCTGTCCATGATGTACTGTCTTCTCTGAATATTTGAAATGCAACTTCAGATCAGGCTCAGAGCCCAGAGTACATCCAGCCTGAGGATCATCTTCACTCATTAAATTCTTTTGGAACTTCAGCAACTGAAAGACAGATAAATATAAGTTTTTGTATTGTGGAGCTGGAATAAATGAGATATCTGCGGCAATTATAACTTCTTTTCATTCTAATTTTCTGCAGATTTTCCACATGAAACTGACAGGTTTATACTTTAAAGTATGACTGAAAACTTTCGCCCAACAAACCATGCAAAAAAGGAACACATAGTATGCATAAAGAAATTAAATTTTTTAGAAGACATACTTGACAAGATGCGAGTGCACACTACTTGTACTCTGTATTAAGGAGGTCCTGGGTTCAAACATTGGCCCAGAGACTGGTTATCCTCACAGGTTTATTTTTGTGTTTTTCTTCAGTTTTTCCAAGCAAATACCAAGATGATACCTTAAATTATGCAATGACTGCTTCATTACAAATACTTTGCAATTCATGATTCATCAATCAACCTATCATTCTATGCACTGACAACTCCTAGTAAACTTGAGGATGGCTGTCTTCTGGGTTGTTGGTCCGTGTGGTCTGGTAGAAAGTTACTGACATTTCAGAGGTGCTTGCTGCCTCTATCATGAGGGTGATAAGTAGCCCCATGATGTAGGCAGCACAATGCAACAACCGCCAAAGACAGCCCTCTTCAAACTCACCACCGTGAGAACCTAAAATCTCACAAAAGTAAACTTCCTTACTCTAAGTAGGATTTGAGGTTCTCGTAACAGCGAGTATGAAGATGGCCATCTTCTGGTTGTAGCTCTGTGTAGTCAGTTCGAAGCTTAACAATGTTTCAAGTTCCTAGCTGCCTTTATCATGCCCCTGACAAGATTTATTAACTCAAAATAATTCTATTGGCTGCTTCTCAAGCTCTCCACTTGTTTGTTCTTTATTTATGGGCTTCAATCTGAAAACTAAGCCCTGGAAAAACACTGTAACAGTCATCACATCTCATTCCTCCTATATAAGCAGCAAGCAAGTTCAATTGTGACCTAACTGTTGACCGAATATGGGTGATGCTGAAGTGTCAATAAGAGCAAGAAGCAGCACTTTAACATGAATATGAGTGCAAAGAGAATGATTAATACCAGTGTGAGAACTAGGTAAGAGACTGAACAATCAAGATTTGCAATTCATAACAGCAGAAAACTGCTAACAAAAGAATACTTATTTGTAATTATCAAGGGAGTAACATTTATATTTCAAAGAACTCAGTATGTTAAATGGTGAATTCTGTTGTAATACAAACAGATCTACTGCACTGAATAAAACAAAATTTTCATTTTAAACAGCCAAAGGTATGAAGAAATTTGATGATGAAGTACTTCAAGAGTAAGTTCAACTTACATCAACATATTCCACATTGGCCTTCTGAGAAGGTGTTTTCTTATCAACTAGGCACTCCAACACTTCAACACTGGCAACTGTAACAGTGCCCGTCATTAAACTGGCATGTGATGTTTTCTTTTCATCACCTTCAACTATTACTGTTGCTGCCAGTAACCTGTTATAAAGAACTGAGATTAGGAAAGTCAACTCAAGCAATAAAAATGAGAACTTCAACAGTTTAAACATATGCATATTATCAGTATCACTATCTACTGGAATTTCCACCTGGATGGATCATCTAAATTCATCTAACAACAGATTTTGTGTGAGGCATTATATATTTTACATGATCGCCTTTCGAACGATGTATGATGTTCCTAGAATGGCGGTTTTCTGTAGTTCCCTAATGTTGTGTTCGCCCGGGATGTTGGCCAAATATTTATTGAGTGACTTGGTGACAGTTCCAGTTGCTCCTATAATTATTGGGAATACTTTTGCTTTCACTTTCCGCATTCGCTGTATTTCAATGAGAAGGTCCTTGTATTTCAAGATCTTCTCCGATTCCTTCTTAATTACATTCCTGTCAGTTGGTATTGCTATATCAATTAAGAGACAAGTTCCATTTTTGTATCGAATTATAATATCAGGTTTGTTATTTAGAATAGTTCTATCTGTTTTGACTTGTTGATTCTACAAAATAGTTATTTGGTTATCTTGACTTGTCTCAACTGCCTTCAGGATGTGTTCATAACAATGCTTCTTCTTCTTCTTACTACTACCCTTAAAGTATCCACATATTATTTCAACTTAGTGTCACTCAATGTCACAAAAATTATTGACTTTACACAACCTGTTAAACTGCTCAGATTTTAGTGAAATTCAAAATGGCACGGTAACATTTGGCAAGAAAAGTATGACAGCAATTCTCCAGTTATTACATGCAGTCAGATGAGCAGGAGTAGCAGACAGAACATCCTCTGTATGCATTCATTTTGTATGCTATATGCAAAGAATGCATAAACATCTCACTTCAATTGTCAAAAACTACAGAACAATGAAAATAAAACAAAAACAGTTATTGATGGGCTCACAATTTTGTTGACCTAGAATGGCCAAACTGCACACTGTGTACTTGCCTGATATGGTTAAGTTGACAAGATTTAAGGAATGCATCCCTGGCTGTATTGAAGTCCCTGCTGCCATAACCTGATACAGCAAAAAATCCAAGCTCATCAAAGAATTCTTCTGCAACAGCTTTCATCTGTTTCACAGATGATCTTGCCAGGCTGTTGCCATTATTTTCAACGCAGATCGTCAAAATGTCATCATGAAGCAACACAATGGCCAAGCTGCTTAAACGGACATGAAAGCGGCTTACTTCAGCAGTCGGATCTGAATCCAACATTGTACTACCAGACTCTGAAAGCACAATGGTTTGTATCAATTTAATGCCGCACAAGTTAAATATTTATGAAATATAATATGCACAAATAGCAATAGAGATTTGCTTAAACCAGTGGTTAAATATGGACATACAGTTGTTGTGGTTGCTTATTGGCCCTACAACCCGGTTGTGGGTTTTCGCCACCTTCTTTTCGGAGGTTTGTTGGTCTTGAAGTGTGTATTTATGACTAGTGAGTGACCAGCCCACTGTCCCTGCACAACTTCTACTCAATCCTGATTTGACTGCCAGAGCCATCTAGCAGTTAAACAGGAGACTTGAGTGAGAAATGGCTGCTGAATTTTGCATCTCGTATCATGCTTGTAAGGTTCTTTTACATGCCATAAATCTAAGACATGGGACCACCGGCTTTACTTCCCCTCCGAAGGAAGTTGTGCTACGGATTTTTATCACCCTTAAAAATCCATCGACCTCAGCCAGGACTGAACCCGCGGACCTTGGGTCCAGTGGCAAGCATGCTAACCACTAGTCCACCGAGGGTGACATATGGACATATAGTAACAAGAAAAAATAAAAACTGAAGTGGCACAAATTATAATTTTAAGACTCCCAATTGAATATACAAAACTGGGGTGGGGGGGAGGGGGGGGGGAAGGTAAAGCTGACCATTACAGAAAACATATATTTGCGTTTGATAACAGCTTGTTTCATGTAAGACTTGAGGTTCTCACAGCGGTGAGTATGAAGATTTCCGTCTTCTGGGTTATTGCGCTGTGTAGTCTGGTCGATGTTAACCAACGTTTCAGAGGTCATACTGCCTCCGTCATCAGGGCGATGAATATTCAGCTTGTTTCATGTTTTATTTGATTTTTATGGAATTTTGTGTAACAGTCTTATTTAGTTTTAAGATATCCTCTCTTTAACCTGATGACAGAGGCAGTAAGCACCTCTGAAATATCAGTCAATTTCTACCAGACTACACGACACAACATCCCAGAGCCAATTATCTTCATACTCACCACCATGAGGTCTTATATTTCTTTATGTCAAACTGAAAAGCACACAAAAATGGAAGGCATTTCAGAAAGTGCAACACAGGAACTAAAAAGCATTCCAAAAGAATGCTGAAAATGTGTTTTTGGATCACTGAAATAATTTGAATCGATCAGGCAAATACTATAAAAGGAGTAAACACAGTTCTAATGCACTAAAAAGTCTCAGAATTCATGACTGTGTGTCACATTATATCATTGTATATATTATTTTCCATGCTATCTGTCCCAATTTGTTAACTATTTACCTTTGTGGGACTTTTTTCTTGTGCGGTTTTGAACGTTTTGATGAAATGGTGAATTATGTGTCGTAGGAGGCCCAGCAGAGCTGCTCCCTAAGAACCTGAAACACAAAACAACCACAATAAATTTAATATGGAACACTTACAGTGCAGTCACCCAACATCCAAGAGTCAGTATCATTTTATGGTTTATTGGGACAGAGATCTCCCCACCCAACTTCTCTGAAAGGGCACAATCTTTTAGCACTTACAAATTTTTTTAATAATATCAAGCACTGTATTCTCCATATTTATAACTCATTAGTAACTATCCTTCCCTAATCACCCATGTAGTGGTTTGTAGTCCGGTAGAAGTTTACAGACGTTTCAGAGGTCCTTGCTACCTCCATCATCACTCTTCACCATGATGGCGGATGCAGCTATGTTAAATGTTAAATCTTTATTATCATTGCATTTAAATGGGAAAGCATGTCCTGTGTGGCAGTTGGCAGTACCTGTGAGAGGGTGAAGTTGCCAAAGATCCTGACTTGCTGGCACTGCTAATACTACTGACTGTTGATGAAACAGAGCCTTCCATACTTGTTGCGTCTGACAACACGCTCTCATTCATTGGTCTGCCACGCACTGGTAAAAACTCTTCATCACTGTCATCTGTAAAAATACGGATCCACTCTCAACAATGCTACAGAACTTAATAACAGCTGATTACTGGTGATACTATGTCCTACATCGCAGGCAAAGCTCTAGAACCACAACGCTATATAGTGGAACCTACACTTGAATATTTCTGTATGTTACGATTTTCCCTTATTCTGTGTGCAATTTCACTGATCCCAATCAATAACACTCTGTTTAAAATTGTCCTCAATCTAGCACTACATGCATTAACTGTACAAATTTTAAATGGGTTTGCTACTAAATTTCACTAAACTGCTTATTATTTTCAGATTTAACGCAATTCTCAGCTTACTGAAAAATATTTCTTGTGATGCTTTGATATTATCCTCTGACTCACTCCACATATCATAGTATTTTCAGTTCGTGTTCATCTGATATAACTAAACAATAAGAAAACTAACTTTAATACAAGACACTATTTATCCCAAAACATGACTGGATTCCAATGACCTTTAAATCAAACAACAATCTGAAAAGTTCATATTTACCAAAATGGAGCACACCTTTTGATTCATTCACCTCCTCAAGCTTTTCATTTTGCAGTGCATTTCACTTATTCAAAACAATGCTGCAATTATGGACAAATTCATTACTTATAAAACTAGCATGTAACTTGTGGTTTATATCTGACAGAGGCTGACTTACCTAATGAAGCAGTAGACCATCCCTGTGTGTACTGCAAGCCCTTCGTGTGCATTGTTGACGTAGGGTGTAGCTTCTGCTGAAGCTCCTGCTCTACCCTGTGGAAGTCGGTAGAATCCATTGGCTTCTCCATGCATCGGGACCTTGGTGCTACATTGCTAACGACAACAAAACATCATATCTTACTAAATGGGTCACAGTGAAGATGGAACAGGCTCTCACTTGCCTTGTAGACACACAACTACCAACAGTGTCCATAATGGAAAGACAATTCATTTTGCCCTTGAAAACAACCAGAAAAATAAATAAATTTATCATCTGCAAAACTATCCAGTCATAATTACATACAACATGGGGGAGAGAGAGGGAAAAAAAATGATGATATAAGTTAGGACACTTTCTTTGTACACTCTGTACAACAAAAAATCAAGCATTTGAAATTTTCTCAGTTCCAAACTGGAAATGATGTAAGCATACAGCTTGCAATATAATTCCAGTCATTTGTAATCTCCTTTAGACAAATTGCTCATATGTGGCTTTTCTCTATCCTCCACAAACTACATTATTTTATGTAAGATGCCTATTTTAGCAAAGACACTAATATGTCCGCCTAATTTGAAGAAGAAAGTGAATTAATGATAATTTTCTGAGTAGTGTTGAAGTCTGACAAAGAAATGGAGCCAAAGGCTTCTATGTGGGTGAGTTGGCCAGGTTCTCTCACAGGCACTTAAAACAAAATATGATTTCATATGTTAGCCCTTAAAAGGGCTGTTTTTAAGACCTGGCATCTTTAATTAGATGTCTAGAATCCCTGAGAATCAACCACTGATCTCATGTGCCTCAGAGTGGACTCAATTAGATATCACAGTGCTGAGACAAAGCAACCTCATCCCAAGCTTCTGATACAACAGTCCAGAGATCATCTCTAATCATGAAGATTTCTGTCTTCTGGGTTGTTGTGCTGTGTAGTCTGGTCGATGAATATTCATCGCCCTGATGACGAAGGCAGTATGACCTCTGAAACGTTGGTAAACATCGACCAAACTACACAGAGCAACAACCCAGAAGACAGAAATCTTCATAATAACTGCTGTGAAAATCTCAAATCTTACATCTCTAATCATCTTTATGTCTTAGAGGGAGGTCAGTCAAGGTTTCCTGCATGGAATTTTTGACCTCACTCAGCCTGTCCTCAATGGGGTTCAAATCAGGCACTTATAGTGGGTAGTCAATGAGTTTGAAACCGGTCCGCTGCAACAGCCATTCTTGAACCACATGAGAATGGAACTGTATTACTCCATCAGGACAAAGCAAACTTAAAGATGACATCACTGTGCATTTTAAGATATGCTTATATTAAATGCTTCTAGAAGCTCTCCTATACAATAAAGTATTCCGACCCCAACAATGAACAGTTGTATGGACAGCGCTAAGTAATCAATCAATTTTAGCAAAGGCCTGAACAATTCAGTGCCCCATATGGCAAGCATCTAATAAGATGTGTATCACCACACTTCCCACTTCTCTGGCTTTGGTCATAGAACAAAGGGATCATCTTTCTAACGAGGAACTGTGCCTTGAGCTGCAAGCAACACAGATGCAACAATCCGCTTAAGGTCACGCAACTTCAAAGTGATGCAAGACAGAGATCTTGAATGTTGACAACTAATACTTGAGGCACCCCCACTTAATGGTACCTGCACCTTGTCATGGTGGTGGGGCTGAGTACCTCAGTGACCCCAAGAGCTATGCTGGCGGTAGCATAGCTACTGGTAGGGCCTCCCTAGCCAGATTGGTCGAGGGGGAGAGGTCAGACTAAGACAGGTACCCTGGTCCTCCAGGTTGGGGGTTGGTCGCAAGGCTAACAACCTTGCACCGTAAAAAGGAAGATGTTTCGAAACCTCAACCTCGGACAGACAGACCTAACAGAGGACCGAATGGAAGACGAGAATTGAGGAGGCCATGGACTGAATACGGACCGGAGAGCCATAGAAGAAGAAAAATACTTGAGGCACAGATCTGTAGAACACAGTAATGTTCATGCTGATACGGCAGATAGTTTTTGTAAGATAGAATAAGACACACAGTACTGATATGACAATCATGCTCAGTGTTAACTATCGACATCTGATGACGTGAACTTAATATGCAGTGAGCACAAAAATAACATTTCCCCGATATTTCAAAACTCAATCCCAGTATCCCACAACCCATTACTTTCATCTGTGTCAGAACCAATCACAAATCCTACTGCAAACAGTATTTATGTTTGATTTGTCTAACTTGTTTTGTGCAAATTTCCAATACCTGGTATCCTCCAGGTCAGGAGTAGCTAGGCCGTGCAGAAGCTCAATGAGAACGTGGAGTTGACGGGCAGATAAGAAAGTGGTCAGGGAACCCAAGTTCACTTCCAGGTCCACTTTGGGTCCCTGAACTCCCTCGCCCTGCTTCAGTTTCAATCTAAATTCCTGCCGACCGGACAGCTTCCCAAAGAGGATTGGGTCAGGCTCCAGTGACAGGTTTGAGTAGTGAGAAGTCTTTTCATTTATAACAGATTCCTGAACAGACGCTATGTGGGAGGTTGATGGTGACTGGGATGCTGGCGTAACAGGTGCTGTTCCAAAATTTGAATCTGAATTCTGAAATAAGGAAAACACGATCGTTACTAAAACTTATAAAATACATTAATATCTACAATTTACTCATAATTAACATTCGTAAGTTCTACGTACTTATATTTATACACTTTCTTATTTCATGTAGCTGTACAGAAGATTCTGGTGTTCCCTGAATTCACAGCAATGGGAAGAAATAAAGTTTACCATGTTTGCCCTAGTCTATCTAACAACGCTATCAATACTATAAGTGTTACATCATGCTGAAAGCAAT